TGTGTGTGTGTGTGTGTGTGTGTGTGTGTGTGTGTGTGTGTGTGTATATATATATGTATATACTATATATATATATATACTACAGTGTGTACAAGGGGAGCAGAGACGACTGAATAAAATGAAGTTTGACAGTAAACACCTTGTACAGAATCACTGTGTGACTGTTCATGTAGTAATGAGTGTGCTGACTGTTTCATGTGAAGCCTGGGCTGCTTTGTGCTCACCTACTGACACCTTTGGTTGAATATTTTCGCAGTGTTGGGCGCAGTCCGGGGTACAACTGTAGAGAACAAAGGGGATGTTTCACAACACTGAGGAGGAAGTAGCACGTCTTCTGCAGAAGTCGTTAACATACAGACAGGCAGGCAGTTTTTAAACACCGGCTGTCTGTAGCTGCAGCTTCAACCCATAAACTGTTCCTAAACCAGTCATGTTTACAAGCAAATGCTGCGTTCATGTGTTCATGCAAACAAGGACATATATTTACTAAAATTATGGGATGTATGTGCAATCAGTTCCTCTCACTATGGTTCTCTGTTTTCTTTGTCAAACATCTTTGATAAGAGAAAACAAACGCTGACAGAAACATTAGCATTTAGCTCATACGGCTGATAGGAACGAATGATTGGACACAATTACATTTTTATATTCCACTTTTTAATGTTTGTTATTGTCGTAGCTATCCTGATTTATGTTTTTGTTTGTAATGTATACATTGCATCAGTTTTTTTTTTTTTTTTACCTGAACCACAACATAAGACATCTTTCAGAAAAGCAGGAAGGTAGAAAATTAACTAAAGACATTTTTATAGTGACTCAAAAAACATCCGTGAGAGACTTTTAATGTTTTGCAACGTCTCTCTTGTATTGCCAACTCGTGGAAAGGTTGAACAAAGTCGGAAGTGTGATGAAAGTTTCAATTCTACAAACCAACTTCCCCAATTAAAATGTTAAATAAAACCTTCCCAAACACAAAGATGGGAAAAAAAAAAAAAAAGCAGCATGACCACAAACATCAGCATCATTACTCACTTCCTGCAGGGTTCACACTTGTTCTTGACTCTGTGGTAGTTCTCCTTGCAGTCACACACAGCGTCTCCTTCATGTGTGCCTGTGAAGAAACAAAACTGCTTTTATTTACCTGAACCGAAAGTTTTTAAGACGCGACTGTGAGGTGCATGTTTTTGTTACAAGACTTACAATTCTGTTTTTTCGTTTCATTTTCTCGACACGTTGTACATTTGAGACACTCAAAAGTTTCTGAGTCGATGTGATGTTTGTAGTAACCACCAATACAGCCGCAAACAGCGTTTTGCGTTGCATTACAAGACGATATCTCGCGTTCATTTCTTGAATCTGGGGACAAGATAAAGAAAACTGAGTGGATAACCTTTGACCTGGGGGTAATGGGACAGGAGATTAAAGTGTACGTTTGCAGGTTCTGCATCTTCTGCAGGTTGAAGCGTGGTTGATCTGGTCGTTGTACTGATTCTCAGGACACTTCTCACAGACACTCTTCTGACCTTCACCTTCACACTCAGATTTAAGTTTAAACCCTGAAAATAAGAACGCTGCACATTAATACCAACAAATGTAAAACTTTGCACAGTTTCAAGACATTTTCTGGGCAGTCTCAAAGTCTACCTGCATGACATCTGTTGCAACATGTTCCCTTTTCATTGAGGAAGTAATCAGCTGGACATTGTTTTTCTTCTAAATCTGGTTTTGGTGTAGATGCCGGTGAAGACTCAGAGATGTTAGCGCACTAAAATGAAAAACATACAGTAAGAGTCATAAAATTTGAGTAAATGCTCGTGTTCTTGTAGTGTCCTTGAAGGCATCGTCACCATGAGGAGAAGAAAGATGGCAGCGCTCCATCGTCTGCACCGTCCTCTTCTCGCCATCATTTATAGTTAATTTAATCCATCTGTAAGAGCGTAAACAGTGTATAAATGTTACACAAAGACAAAGAAAACTGACTGAATATGAAAAAAATGTCCCTAAATTTATAATTAAACAATATCAAAATTAAAATCTGTATAAAATACAAATCCTCACGATTACACAAATGCTATAAAGTCTTTTTTTGTTTGTGTGTGTTGTTGTTAAAAAGTCAGCATTCACACGTTTTCTACATACTTGGTGCTTTTTTAGCCACTCGTATCAAAACGTTTAGCTCATTTTGTAACATGCATTTTCATAACTATTATACTTTTTAAAATATTTATCTTTATTTACAATCATTTCCCCCATACGGTGTGTTTTAAATCTGCTGAACACACTGTAGTTGCTTTATTTTAGCCTTTGGCTACTTTGAGTTTTGACATGCTGTTCTGTTGATACTTTTACTTAGCCTCTTGATTTTTCATTTTCAGTCAGGCTTTCGATTCTTAAAAGTTTCTTGCAAGCCTTTTGCTACTCTTAGCTTTTTGCTAAGCTTTTGCAAAATGTAGCCCTTTTGCTACTTCTGGCAATCCTCTAGCTACTTTTAGCTTTTAGCTAGCTTCTTGCAAAATTAAACATTTAGCAAGACTTTTGCTATTTCTAGCTGGCTTCTAACAGTTTTTAGCTGTTCTCTTGTTACTTCTAGCTAGCTTTATGCTACTTTTAGCTCTTAGCTAGAACCGCACTTTGACTCTGAAGCAAAACGATCTTGATTTTTAGAAAAAGAAAAGAAAACGACACATGTAAAGCCACTCTCATGTCATCAGAGGTTGTGCTTTGTAACATTAAAACTTACTGCCAACTAAATGGCCCAGAGACGTCATGAGTCTGTAATGTAAAAAGCATCAAACAGACTGGAAGGAGCGGAGCTGCACCGGAGGCAGGAAAGAGACGACCGACTGAAACAAACATGGCGAAGCTTCATTCATTTTGATAACATGAGTTTTACTCGCATGCCACAGTCAGTAACCACTTCCTGGCCCCAACTCGTCTTTTGAGAAATTACTGCCCACCTCCGAAAGGCAAAGGCAGATGTCAATGTTGCTGCTCGTGTCTGTGTTTCTTAGTAAAATATCTCATGAACCTTTCAAAAAAAGTACTCGATAAACAATCTTTAACTTTAAAGTCGAACGCATTCAAGATGGCCGCCACAGCCAACCAACATTAAGAAAATGTCTATATTTAGTGCCACAGATATTGATCCAACGTTTGGTGTGGTAGTAGCTGAGACTGATCCCCAACACATAATTTGGATGCTAACAGGATGCTCAAAATCTTCATCTGAAATTGTCCCAACCCTGTCCGTCTGTTAGCAAAATATCTCATGAACCGCCAAACGGATTTTAATGAAGCTTGTACAACGTATTCTTTGTATAAATGTCTACAACTGATCAGCTTCTGGAGCCAACCCAAATCAAGATGGCCGCCGCAGGCAACTGACCTTGGGAAGCAAAAAATGGCTGTAATTCAGTCAGTTTCATAGATACTGAGCTGAAGTTTGGGTGTATTTGTAGCAAAACATCATTCCTAATAAATATTCCGAGTCCTACACAAGATGTTTGCATTAACTTTAGAATTAATTGTTGGAGACAACACTGTCTGACTGTCTGTTAGCAAAATATCTCATGAACCACTGGCCAGACTGTGATGAAACTCTCGGAAAGTAATCACTGTACATCTACAACTGATTATCTTTGTTTTGACGATGGCCACCACAGCTAATCAACATTAGCCAGCAAAATGATCTAAAACTCTTGTCTGAAAGACGGCGGGTGACAAGCATTCCTTCAGGTGAGTCTTAAAGTTTCCTTTTGTTCCAGCCACTGGAAGATGAACCAGATTTACTCCATAACTTGATCAAGTCATCACCAAAAGAGATAAAGAGCTAACATGTACAGTATAATATTTATATAAATAAATACATAAGTAAACGTTTTAAAAGGGCAATAACATACATGTTTTAAACACAGTTGTAATATAAGTATTTTATTATAAAAATAAAAAAAATTTTTTAAAACATCTCACTGTGGATTCAGGCTGCGCCACCTTTTTTTTTTTTTTTTTTTTTTTTTTGGCACACTTTCACTTCCCTATCGCGCAGAAAGACGCTTCAGATCCACTTGAACCTCTTCTAAACTCGTCTTTAACAACTAACCACACAAACAAACAGACCATAACGTCAATTGAAATATGAACACAAAACGTGCCTTTTGTTTTTAGACTAGTGTCGGTTCGGTGGGCCACATTACGCCTACATACGAATACCACGCCACCCCCCCGGGGGCACATTCCCACACAGCCGTGCGTAAAATGTTTCCTGACCTGAACAAGTCCGTCCACAGCGAGGGCTCCCGTCCTCACTCCAGCTCCACGCATCGCCAGTGTTGGAAGTTTTTCCACACTTTTCTTGCTTTATTATTTTTTATTCGCGTTTCAGCGCGGAGTGGAATCTGCTGCCGCCTGAGGATGAGGAGGAGGCGGACCCAAACGGGAAACAGCTGCGTCACCAGCGCGTTTCAAGGAATTACGGAGGAAGCAGTTGGGCAAGAAAACAAACCTTAACCTGTCTCGTCTTAAGGGGAGGGAGGACACGCTGAGTCAGACAGGGAAGACCAGGAGACTGATCAGATGGTTCATCAAAGTTCCTTTAAAGTTTGGACACTTTGGAGCGAGCTGTGTGCGGTTATGGACAATAAATGTCTTACCTGTTGTAGTTGTCTTGAAATTGCAAAATATTCCCCATCAACTCCAACATCAAAATCCAACATGGCTGTAAAGTTAATTAATTTTTTTAACTTTATTGAACTACTGAACATACAGAACAAAAGAACACAAATAGAACAACAAATGACAATCTCAAATTACAATGATACATATAAACATATGCAAATATCTACAATCATACCTCCTAAGGTCAACATATTCTTAAACGAATTATCATATCAACCATCATAAACTTAAATTTAGGTAATAATACTATTTGAGAGTTTGCAAATAATATAGTACAGTAAATTAAACAACTAACTATTTATCTAAGAATCTACATAATTACTAAAATAATTTGTCAGAGGGCTATATTATCTGAGCGAGGTGATCAGAGAGCTTTTTTGCTTGTGGTTTTTTAGCACTGTCTAATGAAAGTTTTAACAACTGGAGTTCTTGTTTGAATACAGACCATAATGGTTTAGACTTGCCATATCTGCATTTATTTATATAGAATTTTAGTTAATTAATTTAATATCCTGTAGAGGTATATCCCAATGAGATCACAGGGTTTCTGCAGGGAAGGTGTGGGCCTGATGGCAGCCTAAACATGTGGTCAAGACCTGTGGCTTTTGGTTTGAAGTCTTTGGTGGTTTATTGAGTTTATTTGTTGTGTTTCTAGTGTTTGACTTCCTGTACTCTTCTTTTTGTATTGTTTATTGGCGGTTGGCAAACAGCTTAATGACTTCAAAAACAAGCGGTAGATGGATGGATGGATGGATGGATGGATGGATGGATGGATGGATGCATGACCGCGAGGAGTGTGGACCGAATGTCTCAGAAAATTTTTAATTAATTAAAAAAAATAATAATAATAATCACCTCAGATCCTTAAATGTCTCAAAATATAAAAAAAGTCATGATATCTTCTGTTTCTTGAATATTTTTTAAATAAGTCTATTAGGTCTAGTTCAGGGGTGCCCAAAGTGGGGCCCGCGGGCCAAAGTTGTCCCGCCAAGCTGTCCTCGTTACTATATTAAAATTTCCTTTGCAGTGTCAGTGTGTTTACACTCAGTCATTCTGACTTTAATGTTAATGTTAAATGGAGAGTCAGCCAAATTACTACCTTAACGGCACTATACAGCTGAAGTGGCTATTTTGTGCAATAAATTATTCAATTTTACTAATTTATATTTTATTTTGACAGACTTACAGCTTCCTGCCACTGAAAAACATTTTCCTTTGATCCTGCACTTAATACATTTATAAATCACACGTAAAGCATTTAAAAATAGCCTAAATTATAAATATGAACTGGCTTCAGTAGTGATTTTAGCCTCTTTTTGAGACTGCTCCAGCACCCCTAAATTTAAACTCAGCACCTCTGAAAAATAAAACATCATTAGGATTTTGTAAGGAAACAGTTCTCAAACCTTAGATTCACCAACATATTGAATATGGAATAAATGACGACAGTCTCAAACGGGCCAGTAAAATCTATGACTTTTTTTTGCACGAGTCACGCCACCTGTCAATCAATCCATCATGTCAGCAACTGACCAATCAGCAGCCTTAATTTGTCCTGAAGTGAATGCTCCTTACCTGCAGAGCTGCTTTGCAGTCAGAGATTTCAATAATGAGTTTACATCTTTTGTTTCATGTTAATCTACTCTAATAAACCTTTGCAAAATACAACAAAATGCAGGAAATGGCATCTATTTTATTCACAATTCTCTGGGGAAGAATCCCCAGACCCCCCACCACCACCAACACAATCTATTCTGTAATGTTCTTTATAGAGAATGGAGGTTAAATTACTGTATAATAAATAAATGGACTTTACTTGAAGAAGTATTTGCATTTCATGTATTATATTATTGCATTTGGCCCGCAGCCCTCTGATAGATTTTAGATTTGGCCCTCTCAGGGAGAATGTTTGGGCACCGCTGGTCTAGTTTTATTTTCATATTATTGTTTTCTAATTAATTGATTACACTCAGCCTGAAAATGTTGACAATACAGTCTCATCAACTCCACGATCACATTTTCCCCAGTCTGCTAGTGTTGTTCTTCTTTTTCTTCTTGCAGATCGCAAACAACTTAAAAGTGCATACCAACACCATGAGTGTGTAACCTACTAAATTTTGATTTTGTGTTGTGTAAAAATAAAAACAAAGCTTTTCTTATACAACATTCTCTTTAAACTCCATTCCCTCCCTACCTCTCTTACTCATTCATGTAATTCTGCAGAGACTTGTCGTTCCAACATTCTGATCACGTCCTGCGATCTTCTCAGTCCAGGGAAACATTACCCTTTTGTTTACCTACAAACTGCGCTCACGCATGGCACATGGCGCCAAGCAGAGCACAGATGTCAGATTATTCATAGAAAATGATTAAATTACAAAAGAGAGAGTCCCTTTCAACCAGATGGGGATTTTACTTATTCACATCAACAACCCATGCAAGTTAAACAGGGTAACATCTAGTTTAGCATAAAATGGGTGAGATTCAACAAAGTGGAATGTTGACTTATCTTTTTAATCACGGAAGGATTTAACAAACGAAATGAGTGTGAGATTGGACGCACGATTGAAGATTGTTATAAATATTGTATGTTGATGGTTAACTTGTGCAATTTATGAGACAAAATGTTGACCATAAACACAAGGAAAAAGTTAGAAAAATCTTTTATGTCTTTATAAATAACATCTTTGGTTTGTTAACAACCTTAAATAAGAGATTTAATTAAATTAAAGCATCAAAATTAAAATGTTTATAACTTATATTCTGTATAATTGTTTTTCTGTTGATTTGTCTTTTCCTTTGAAAGTATAGAGGAGAAGTTCAGTTCAGGAGCCCAAGGAAACCCCCAAAAAGTGACGAGGAGGTGGACCGGAGGAGAGTGAGCCTGCAGGTGAGCTTCCAGGTGAGTACAGGTACTCTGACTTTTGGTTCTTCTTCACGCATTGAAAGTTAGAAAGATCTTAAAGTCTGCGAAGAGAACACAAACCAACAAGAACGCACGCGTCAACTCAAAGCCAATACTCCAAAATCTGGCCCTTGTTAACCTCCCCAGACCATCTCCAAGATATTATTTGAAATGTTTTAGGCCTGCACTATCAATCTGTGACAGACTGAGTCTCTTTTTTAACCGCAGCACACTTTCCGTGACAATTATCCCACTTTGAAGCCAAAAAACTTGACAAGGCTTTTCCAGAAATCTGTGATTTTAATGGAGAAGCAACAGAAAAAGTCAAATGAGACCGATCAAATGTTTGATGATAAACTTGTTGCTAAAGATGTCTGGTGTCTGGGGTAACGTTTGCTAACAGAGAGTTTAATGATCTTCACCTGTTTGCTCTACCTTTTAAAAGCCAAATCAAATGTTTAGTCAGGTTTTTATTCAACAGTTTGTGATCAAGTCATTTATTAAGAAAATAAATTAAAAAAAAAAGTTGAAGGACATGGGTAGTTCTGTCTTAAATGCTTTCCTTTATTATATTCAGTAAAAAAAAAA